CGTCACCTCCACGTCACTTCATGTCTGGATAAAGCTCTGGAACTGAAGCCTGGAATCAAGAGGGAGTTGGCCATGGCTGGACAAAGTGGTGTTAAGACACAGCCTGGACTGGCTGCGACAAGGAACAGCAGCACAGGGAGGACATGGATGCTAAAGGAAAAGGAACTCTGTTATTCAAGAACCCCTGGGTGAGGACGTCTTCATGGAGCTGTTATTCACTTGAGAATGCCTCAGCACACAGAGCAAAACAACCATCCCGGAAGAAGCCATATAAAAGTATACGGCAACCAAGCCAGGCATGGTGGCGCATGCCTGTAATTCCAGTACCCAGAAGCAGGCACAACACGATCATGAGGTTGATGCCAGACTGGGTTACATGGTAAGACCCCAGAAAATAAGCGAGAAAATCCCTAGGCAGTTCTGCCCTTCTCTCTGAACTTCTCTGTAATTTGGAGCAGGCCCAAATAAAAATGTGTTTTACTAAAATAGATGAAGGATAACTTTCCTTGGGGTGGTGAAAAGAAAGGAAAAGAGAGATTCCCAGGTGAGGAAGCACCAGGTGAGTCTTTGAAGCAAACAAGGGGACAGGGCCATGTACAGAATGCAGAGAACGCCACTCATTGGGTTATGACTCAAACTTAAAGTGCTGGAGAACCATGTGCTTCCAAACCATCAGCGTTCAAGGATGAACAAACAGGCTGACTTTACCATGTTTCCTCGCCTAAGGGAGGAAGATCACAAAATAAAAATTCCTACACTTGTCACATTCACAGTGAGCATGGTACCCCATGCAAGGAGAGGCAATAACCTTCTCTTCTTCTTGACCTCTTTGGAAGGTCCCCCTGTCCTTGACGTGCTGAGTTAAACCCATTTTCAAAGTCAGTAACTAACATGGTTACAAAAGGCCGTAAATCTCTTCAGGGTGTAATCATAACCCTCGAAGGAGTGCGAACTGAGGCACCTGGTTTAAAGCGGTTCGTGGTTTTCACCTCTAAGTCACACTCCTTCGCAAGCTGGAACTTAACCAATCTTGGTCTCACTTCCGACTGTAGTTCCTAAGGAGAGTTTAGGCAGGTCTTCCTCATGCTTACGTGTAACGCTTTTACAACGAGAAGGTAATTACACCATGGAACTCGTTTCTGCTTACCTCCAGGAATTTCTCTAAGTATGGAGAGGGAGTTGTTGGTCTGCCTCGTGATGTTATCCACACTCTCTTGAAACTGACTCGTGAGATTTTTCAACTCATCTAGCTTCAGTAAAATACCTGTATGAAGGGGGAAAGAAAGGTCCACGTTAGGTTAGTTCGCTAGCACGCTGCCTAGGCAACAGCTTGATCCTTCCTCATCCATTTACAGCAATGCTGAGAGTTTTCCCAACAATTCTTAGCAATAGTCATTGCAGATACTGGGTTTGGTTGGTTTGGTCCTTTCGTCAATGTTGCTAATGCCTTTTGTACTATTACTTGTCCTTGAATTTTTGTGCCTAAGCTCCTGAAAGCACAAAGGCGAAGAAATGTTTAAACTGTCAGATTTCATGATTTTCTCCCCATGCTGGAACCCGCAACCTTTCTCATCAAGGCTGTCAAACCCTGATGGTGGTCCCCAACCTGTCACTCTGACCAATCAGCTCTTTTCTATTCCCTTCACCTACTGAGTCTGGACTCATTTCAACTTCCTTCAGTTTTAATTTACACTGTTGGATTAAAACTTTTACAGTCTCTGTTCACAATGTGAAACCAAAGCTAGTATTCCGAACACATGATGAAAGCATGGAATTATAATTGCCAAGAATCCAGAGTTCAGTGTACCTTCCCTGTGCAAACTGAAGCCAAAGCCCATCGGTCTTTATGATTGAATTGGTGAACAAGAACTGTGAAGATGTGACATTCAGAGGACAGGGGAGTTTCTAAATTGTCTCCTTACAGAGAAACAAACAAAAATGCCCAGGCCCAAACCCTTAGTTCAGTCAGCTACAGTTGGGCCTAGCTCTTGATTCCGAGAGTTCATGGAGCTACGGGAGGGTCTAATGCTACCTCTACAAACTACCTGCATCAATGTTGAGAAGCAGATTATACAGCCACCAAAATCCCATGCCTGCATATTTTCTCACATAGAACAGATTCTTGGCATTTTATGTTATGTTCTTTCATGTCCCAAGTGATCGCTTGCTGAAATTCTTGAACCGTATAGGTATTTATGGAAAAGGGCTTATCATTTATGATTTAACCCAGTAACATTTCAATGAGGGCCTATCATGTTTGAGTCAGATGAAAACTATAAAGATGGTACTGGATAGAGCCCCTTTCCTCAAGGATCTGGGAGGCTTGAGAACAAAAGAGAAGCACCCCCACATCCACCAGGAAGAACAGCGGCAGTGCCAACTTGGGCAACCCCTGGAATTTGGTCATAAGGAAGGCTTAAGTACAGAGACGCGTGCACGTTCAAGTAAACGACACTAGAATAAGATTGAGAACCACACGAAGTTGAGATGAGACGAAATTATTACATTAAGGAGAGAGACACGAGGAGCTTCAAATTGCTCTAGGAAGAGACCAATCTCTGAGGATGCTCATCACCACGTGACCACCCATCCCGCTCGTCCAAATGCAAACTGACCTTGCTGCTTCCTCCTGGCACTGACGCTTTCCTTTAGAAACCTGGAAGTGCGCTGCAGAACTGTGTTCCCCTGAGAAACCAGGGGTTCCGAGATCTGAAAAACAGAACAATTCACACATAGTAACCCCCCCCCCCCCCCCGAGAGAGCAGCCCTATTGGAAGATCAACGGCCAGCTTCCAGAACAAAAGTCCACCTCAGAGCCAGAGGGAAAATTCAGTGTTTGAGAGGAAGAACACAGGGACATGGTTACGTATATAAAGAAGGAACTTGGCCATTATAAAACTGTTAGTGGGTAATGGACGGCATCAACGTCTTTACCAGAAGAAACCGAGGTTTCCCTTTGTCTTTAATTGCAGTCATTAGTCTTCACAAAGAAGCAAAAATGACTTAAAAACATAGGTGAGATGGTCCAATGTATTTCTAACTATCCAGAAGGCTGGGGCAGGGGGCTCACTTGAATTCAGGATTGAAGGCCAGGCTCTACTGCATAGTGAGACCCTGTTTTCTCAAAATGTTTTAAGAATTAAAGGGCATATAATATGCCGGGAAAAAAAGCAAAAAATACAAACAGTCTCCACAAGAAAAGACTGTAGGTAAATATAGTTGAGCCACTGAGTGTATGCTCAAAAAATTCTAGAGTAGTGGTACTCAACCTTCTTAATGCCACAACCCTTTAATACAGTTCCTCGTGTTGTGCTGATTTCCGTTGCAACCTCATACTGTAATTTTGGTGCTGTTGTGAATTGTCATGTAAATATCTGCATTTTTCCGATGGTTTTGGGTGGCCCCCATGGAAAGGATGTTCAACCCCCCCCCCCAGGGGTAGTGACCCACAGGTTGAGAACTGCTATTCTAGAAGCCATCCAAGGAATGCAGAAAAGGAAGATGCACAATGAAGCCCTTGGCTATCTCTCACCAAGGCTGTCTTATTCGCGGTCTTGTGAGCATCAGCGGCCAGTCTCTCTGCTTCTTCCATCATGATCTGAATGTTGGCGTGAACGTGGGCTGCGCTGGTGGCGTTCAAGGACACGTTTCTAACATTTTCAAGGTCACTATCAAGTAAGCATTATGTAGAGACGTTATTTAAAAAAAAACTGAATTAGTGGAGTCACTCACGAATACAGTGGGTGCCTCTACTGAACTTGAAAGCTTGCTAGTTTCTTTCTTCTTGGAAAAGAACTAGGGACCAATGGCTTCCCCTCCACACACAGAAGACATGCCTGAGAAGCTGCCTGTCATGGCGACTGCTTTTAATCAACACAAAGTCATGATGACCATTTACCTTAGCGAGCCATCATCAGTTCCCACCATCTGTCCCCCACTTTCCATGTTAAGTTCAAGGTACATGTTGGGGTGCCCCTGCATGTGTGCATTGTGTATAATCTCTCTTGAAAACCATTTAATTTTCAAAAAGCTTTCTGACCACAGGAAGGGGTGCTAAGGTGGTCCCCAAAGGCTGTACCCCAATTTGATGAGATTCGCCTGGCTTTCTGCAGTCGAGTCAGATAATATGCCAATCAGTTGAACTTCGTTCTAACAAGCAGGCGAAAGGTTTAGGAATTTGCCAACTGGCCAGGGTGGGATTTCACTAGCTCTGTGCAGACAATCCGTGACAAGGAAACACTTCATTTCCCCCCAACCTTCTCGAACTGAGCAATTCCCATCCCAGACATCAGCAATTACTGTCTGTTGCTATTTGACTGGAAAATCCAATGATTTATAAATTAAAAATAAGTTATTTAATGTTGACTATCATAATCAAGATGCTTTTACTACTCTTAGATTAAATTATAAAGATTTTAATCTAACCGTAAATGGAGCCCAAATTTCTTCTCTTTAAGGAATGATTGAAGAGGATACAGAGAAGCAGAGGCTCTATCTCCATTCTCTGTGACTGGCTGGTATGGTACTCATGGCCATTCAATTCAGCACATAAATTAGGCGATCATCTATTGGGTCGGTTTTAATTGCGTGTGTTAAGTAACCTATTCATGACACTGTTTCTCGATGCCTATTTTCCTATTCACAAATGTTCCCACTAAGATTTTTTACATTCATCCTTTATAGCAAAGTTTAATAAATTCACCAAATAATTAACACCCCAAGATTAGCTAGGCCTCCTGGCTTAGACTAGGGGGCTGAGTCAGGAGGATCACATATGCAGAGCTAGCCTGGGCTACACAGTGAGTTCTAAGCAACTAGTGAGAGCTTGTCTCAAGATAAAAGTATGAAGAGGACTGTGGACATAGCTCCGTGTTACAGTGATTGATTGGCATGCACGAGGCTGTTAGTTGGTTCAATACCCAGTATTGTAACACTCTCTCTCTCTCTCTCTCTCTCTCTCTCTCTCTCTCTCAGAAAAAACTGTAAATCCCAAGCCATAACCCATAACCCATAACCCAAAGAACTGAAGTCACCATCTCGGGGAAGGAAGAACAAGGTACCAGACACCAGTATTTGATGTGGTGCCCTAAGTTGGCACCTGAACTTGGTCTCTCAACAGTTAATTAAGCCACCCCTTGAGCTACTATCCCAAAGCTGCTTTAACTAATAGTTGCACTTATTACATAAACTTTTCCTCACCTTGTTAAAAATAAAGCAAAGCTACAGGCCAGCAAGGTTTCTAGACTTATTTATACTTATTTACACTTATTTAACTTAGGTAGGGCAGTGCTCAAGAGCCTGGTACTTTAACTCCGTTGGATCTGATGCCCTCTTTTGGTCTCTGTGGGTTGCAGCACACACGGTACCTCACACACACTTTTGGAAAAATAATTATATTACAATATTACAAGCATAGACCACCAGGAGGCAGCTAATGCCGGATGCGGTTCTTGGAGCACTGGCAAAGAGACTCTCAGCACTTCTACAGGTGGAGCATGGGCAGCCACACCCTCAATTTGAATCTTGGACTCCATGAACACAAGATGTGTAGAGAACACAGTGTCCTTGTGCATCTCGTACACAGAGCGCTTGAGCACTGTAGGTACTTAGAAAAGCCTTGCTAGCCTGTCATGCAGCACAGCGTTCTCCATCATACATGCATGCCTGCAGTAAAGCTGGCAGATGCAGGAGGGAATCTAAATTGCCACACAAGTAAAATACGACCCTCAAATTTTCCATGCACAATGCTTGGTTTGAAGGCATGAGCACTTTCCTACTGTTTCCCAGAGTCCGTGTGAAAAGGGCAAGCATAGTTGTTTATAATCCCAGCACTAGGGAGGCTGAGAGAGGCAGCGCTTACGAGCCAGCTAGCCTAGTGAGTTCCTGGTCACCAAGACACTGCTCTAAAATGTGTGTACAACATTAAGGGTGACCTCAAAGATTGTCCTATGGCATTCACATGTGTGTCTTCTAAGTAGGCATGGATCTACATATACATACACACATATGCATAGGCATACATGAGTGTGCATGCATGGGTGTGCCCACAAACACAGCATCAAAGTGATTCAATGCTGTCATCCAAAAAGCCACCCTCGCCCTGGTCGGTGGGTTGACAAGCACTTCCTGGATTATGAAAACTCTGCACCCCTACCTGTCGAAAACACCTGCAAGGCTCTGCAGCTCAGAGGCATGGCTCTCAGCTCTGTGGACCAGGTCACGAGCTCTTCGTTTGGACATCTGCATGACCAGCTCATCGACGTGGCTCCGGAGCTTACTGGTCCACAAAAGGAGCTCATCTCTGTGCCGCTCCAGCTGCTGCATGGAGAAATGAAAACGTAAATAAATGCATGATGATTTGCTAGTGCGCATGTATACACATGAATGAAGTGTGTGGCTACTCTGGAAACTGCTATGGCTGCCCAAATTGGCACTTACTGTTAGGGTGTCTTGAACAGTATCCACGTGAGCGGTGGCGAAATCTACCCATTCTCTTCCTTTGGCGAAGAGCTTTGAGGTCAAGTTTTGTTCTTCTTGAACATTCAGCTTTTTCTCCTGCATCAAAAAATCATCAATTAAGGATATACAATGAAAGCAAGCCAGCTTCTGACTTTGGCACCAAGTGTCACTGGCTGAAGCCAGGAGCCAGGCTCCCTTTGTGAGAGGCTAAAGCTGGTGCTGTTTACAAACACACTTAAGCAGTGACCGTCCTAATTGAGGAGGAAGGAGATACTGAGACTCACGCTGAACTCTTTCAGGTTGGCCTTGACGAGGAGCAGCAGGCGGTTGCTCTCCTGGGTCTTGGTCTCAGCTTCCTTCAGGAGCTCCTCTGCCGCCTGCAGCTCTTCACTGTGGTTTGAAAGGAGGCCACTGGCTGACTCCTTCAATGCCTTCAGCTTTTCCTGGGGCTTCTGGACCCTCTTCTGAATTCGTGACAATAACTCTTTAGCAGCCCTGATAAAGAGAAATGGTCCACTTAGGAAGTAAAACTTGGGTCTTGAAACCCTAATAAGAGATTTTCAAATGATCATAGCTCCTTCTAGGAATATAGAGTGACTTACTTCTTGTTTTGTTTTTTATTTTTTGTCTTTTGTTTTTTTTAGACAGGTCTTGGCTATACTCCTTAGGCTGGTCTTGAACTCAAAAAAATTCTCCTGCCTCAGCCTCCCTCATTGTTACGATTATAAGTGTAAATGACCAAGCTTAGCATGGATCCTGATCGCTTAAGACTAGAAGCAATTTTTCTTTCTTTATATGTTTTGTGTGCATATGTGTGTGTAATGAGGGAAGGGATGTATAAGTGCCATGTCAAATATGCAGAGTTCAGAGGACATTAAGGTCTGGCCCTTACCATACTTGCATGGATGCCTGCATGCCAGAAGAGGGCATCAGATCCCACTATAGATGCTTGTGAGCCACCATGTGGAAGCTGGAAATGGAACTCAGGACTTCTGGAAGAGCAGACAGTGCTTTTAACTGCTGAGCCATCTGAGTCACCATCCAAGGTCTTAAGTTCAATTCCCAGCAACCATATGGTGACTCACAACCATCTGTAATGACATCTGGTGCCCTCTTGAGGAAGAGACCTGGTCAGTCATCCTCATCAACTTAGACCATGAAACCCAACATGGACAAGTTCAACAGAATCACCATATACAGGCTGCCCATGCATGCCTCAGCATCGACAGGGCTAGACGCACTCCTTCCCACACTTCCCTGCAGGCTTCTTGTCCTTTTCCTCATCTGAGCCATAAGTGCTGAGAATCTTGGGAACTGCAGCAACACCTGGAATCCTGGGAGCTGCAGTAGTCCCTGAAGATGGGAGTGGTCTGGCACTGAGTGAATGACTGGCAGGTGCACCAAAGCTGATTACCCAGACTCGAGCACAGAGCATGAATTTTATAATAACTATAATTAGTAATATGATGACAAGTCATTCCTGCAACAACCCGTGACATTGGAAGAGGGATTATCTTGGAAACTAAAAAGTGGAGGCTAGAAAATTCATTTTGAATTCCTGTTGTTTAAAAATAAAGGCCCCAAGTCATAACTTCACTTATAGATGGAAGAGAGAAGTATAGAATCTGATTGACAGTTGCATTCTAAACAGAAAGGGAGATGCAATTATAGAACCGGCAGTCCCAGAAGATCCAGCCCGTTGGGAGGGAGAGGGGCTGGCCCTGCCTTCCCTGCTTTGTTTCAAATGCATTCTCAAAAAGTGAACTCTTCTTAAGTGGTCTAGAAGCTCTGGTGAGCACAAAGGCTCTATTGTCTCTCTGGGTATCCCCAAATCCTGCTATCACATTTGCACATGGGGTTCATATCTGTCCATTGAGTGACCAAAGGGTGGCGTGAGGAAGGGGACTCCCACAGGTGGCTTTGGATCTCTAGGACGATCAGCCCGGAATCTACATCTTACTAAGCTCCTTCATAGGCAAGGATTCTGTCCTACGTGGGGCAGCAGCAGGAGACAGAGCTGCCACTCTCGCTGGCGTAGCTGGGCACTCTGTGGTCTTGTTACCTGCTCTGGCATCTTGCTGCCTTCACAGCATTCAGTTCGGTTTTCTCGGGGCCTGTCTGGTCTCTCTGAACCAACATTCGAGTGACTGTTTCATGAGATCTCATCCCAAAGCCTATCTTGGAACCAAGCCTTTCCTTTTAAGTTCCACCCAAGCAAAGCAAAAGGACAAAGATATGTTCAAGGGCAAAAGGAATGATGAACCTAATGTGTGTGTTGCTGGGGAAAAGCGCACAGTGCTTACATTAGCATCGTTGTGGAACTGATCTGGAACTGAGCGCTAGGGAGCCTCCATGTGCAGATTCTGGGACTAAATGATCTGGTCCTACTGTCTACTCTGGTAATCTACTGTCCTGAAACCCAGACAGGCAGGGCAGAGTCTGCATAGACACATACTGTAAACGCAGCTTTCAGGAGGTTGAGACGAGACAATTTTAAGTTCTAGGCCAGCAGGGATACAGTGGGACCCTGCTTCAAAGGAGAAAGAAAAAGGGGAGAGGAAGGAGGGGGAGGAAGAATAGGACAGGAAGGAGAAGAAAAAGGAGGAGGGGGGATGGGACAAGAAAAGGGAGAGTGAGGGCAAGAACTTGTAGTATAAATATCTATATGAAAACACATAGAAATATGGAAGATAACAGGAAATGCCTGTCCAAGATATCTATCACATGATAATTTACAATAACAAAGTTTACAAACACTTCCATACTATACTAGAAAGAATAGAGCATGAGCGAGTCTCATGTAACTGGTTAAAATGATCCTCAAACTACCGAATGGAAGGACAATACTAGCTAACAACCATGTGGAAAAAAACTAGAAAAGGGTCAGGAAGGAAACTGCAAGCTCCCAAGTCTACAAACAACCATTCTCTGGGGCTGCACACTGTATGGTTCTATGAGGGTTTCAGGACCGAGCTCTGTGATGCTGACAGTGTCTGTCTGTCCCAGAGTTGATCGTCTAGGTGTCTCCATTATTCTTCTTGACAGATCACCCTGTGTGTGATCTACATAACACTTCACTACGCTCTCTGGTTTGCAGTGGGTGAAATTAACCTACAAGTCACAGGAAAACAGAGCCTATTGCACAGTACGCAGAGATGGACTATACTGGTTTCCCTGGTCTGTTTTCTGTATATGGAGGGGAAGGTACCCATCCCTTCATTTCCTGGACAGCTGGGCCTCTCTCCTCAATTAACAATATTAATTCTCAAAGATCATTCTCCCCACAATTTCCCCTCTCCAGCAACCAAATGCCTGGTTCTCGCTGATGGTAGTCTGAACAGTGCTCAGGACTTACTTGAGTTCAAGGGTAGCATTTTGGTGCAACTCTGTGAAATTCTTTTTCCTTATAAGTTCCAGCAGAGAAGAAATGTTCTGGTGCATGCTCTGAAGAGTAGAAATGGGTGGCTGGACGTCCCCACATGCCGTCTCATTCAACGCTGCCACCTTTTCCATGATGTCTACAGAGAAGATATGTCACTAAGTAAGTCTCTTCAATGTAGACAAGTAGAGATCCCGGGCATTTCAGGGTCCCCGTGCTATGGGATGGTTTAGTCCCTTGGTATTAGGAAGCCCAGCCCAACACTGTTCATGTGCTTCATAAGGCGATCGTGACTCTACTAACAAAGCACAAAGTCCCCAAAGGAGAGCCTGTCCACACTACCTTTGATGTTGGCATGCAGCTGCTCAATGAACGTGGCCAGGGCTCGAGTCCCATTGATAGTTCTTGTTGTTGCTCTATTCACCTGCTGACTGCTTGCTAAGACTCTAGTGAGCTGAGAGGGCAGGAAGGACTAGGTTAGTGAGGTTTAATATTATATGAGCTTCTCAACACAAACTGTTGCCTCTTTAAAGGGACAAAATATATACAGATCATAAAGATTGCATGATCATGCTGTTGTTCCCTTGCAACACTACAACTCCCAACATCCCTCTGGACTCCAGTGCACGGCAAGCGCGGGACACATTTCCCAGAAGCCTTTGCATCCTCTGTTAAAAGCAAGGACAAGCCACAAGTTCGGCCCTTCTTATCCCTTCCCCTTGTCCCTTCCTTTCACTTTTCCTAGTGTGTTTTCCCCTCCCATTAAAAAGTGTACCACGTGGTACCGCCGCGTGTCTGTGTCTTTTCTAGCGTAACCCTCGTCTAACCCGCAGAAATTAAGAACAACCCGCAGAAATTAAGAACAACACATGCAAACCAAGGTAAATATTTCTAGGCTCAGATTTGACTGACTTGATACTGAAATCACCTAAGACATGCTCGCTGTGAGATAGGATGGTTTATTTTTACAAGCAGTCTAGATGACTAGCAAAGCTTGTGTCCAGTTGTGGAAGCCTTCTTAAGACATTAGTACCCAAGTACAGTCACATATCACCCAGTGACAAGAGAAAGGACTCCTTAGGAGATATACTGTTGTCATCCATATACACTGTGTGCTTCCTTACACAAAAAGGCATTGTGTACTTACACCTAAGCCAAATGGTACTTCTATGTGTGCAAGTATAACACACACACATTTAAGGTGTATGTAGCCCATTGCTCCTTGGGCCATGAAGAATACAATCATGTATGATTACAGCAAGCTGCAGAGAATATGATAAAATCCAGGAACTCAATGAATAAGGGATGTATGAGCCTGGTGGCAGAGCAGGGATACACTGCCGCCAGGGGAAATACCATCCTGTAAACACCTCGGTTGGCAGCAGCACCATCTGTCACTGTCACTGCAGCAGTATATACTTCATACAAGTGTGCCGGACTTGTACACAGCTGGCGGTGTGGTAGGCTGCTCACACCAGCACTAGTGCAGACACATGATGTTGGCACAGTTAAGAGTTGACTGAACAACATGTACTTTTCTGAGATGGGAGACCAGAATGTCAGTGTACAGTGCAGGATCTCACACTGACTACCGGGAGTGGAACCTCACTGCCTGGAGACCAAAATGTCAGTGTGCAGTGCAGGATTTCACACTGACTATGGGAAGTGGAACCTCACTGCCTGGGAGGTTTTAGTTCCTATGAAACAAGAACAAGTTGTCAGGAAGACTGCCTAAGGCCTGAATCTCGCAGCCAGTAGAGCTGTCCACCTCCAGCCTGATCAGTAACATGGGGGTCACACCAGCACCTCCTTAGGAGTGGGAGTGAAGCCGTGACCACAAAACTCTCAGCTCTGACACTGACACAACCGTCCTCAGCTGTCATTTCTTTTCAGTAATTTCATAAATCAAAAGGAGATTGTGATTGTAATATCAAAGACTATAAAATAACAGGATTGGGCCTGCAGGTATTTTCTCCTTAACACCAAATAGAAGCTTCTTTCATGATGAGAAAAAAAAATTATTTTAATCAGATTATTTTCTAGACAATATCTGCTTGCTGAGGGACCCAAAGTCCTTACTCAAACATGCAAGTTATTCTAATATCATCTTTGGTTTCAAATTTCCTGGCATCAAGATAGTACTTTCTTCTGCATGCATGGCTGTGTATGTCTGAACATATCGAGACATCTATAATAAAATATATTTGATAACAGGCCCCTCTCACCCGCTACAAATCAGAAGATGTTTTGATGGTTCACACCCTTCCATGAGGTAAACAAAATAAATAATTCCCTGCTGACATGAAGACCAAGCTAATTTTATCTAGGACCTAAAACCATCAGATTCAACAGGCATGAAACCTGCAAGTCAAGGACCACTAAGTACCAAAGCCACTCCACCTCACAAACCCCACGATGACTGGATTTAGGACAAGGAGGAAACCTCAACAATCTTTTAGTTCCCCTTAGGTTAAGGAGAGAAGGCAAACAGCTAAGTGAACCATGCGTTTCTTCCTTACCATGCATGGCAACTGTGATCTGCTTAGGAACCTTTTTCACTACAGAGGATCGTGGGGTTAGAACCATTTGATGATCAACATCTGGGGCCTCCTGGAACCCACCAGATGGAGCCCAAAGGCTCCTAAGAGCTGCCCTGTGATGTGGGAGTTCCCTCTCTGTGCTGTGATTACCATCAATAAATAAAGAAACTACTTTGGACCTATAACAAGGAAGGACTTAGGTAGGCAGGGAAAGCTAGGCTGAATGCTGGGAGGAAGAATGACAGGGTCAGAGAGAAGCCATGGAGCCACAGGAGACAGACGTGCTGAAACTTTGCTGGTAGCCCATGACCTCTTGGTGATGCACAGATTAAGAGAAATGGGTTACATCTTAAGATGTAAGAGTTAGACAATAAGAAGTTAGAGATAATGAGCCAAACAGTGATTTAACTAATACAGTTTCTGTGTGATTATTTTGGGTCTAAGCTAGCAGACTGGCCAGGAAGAACAAGCGGCCTCCTTCCAACAGCCCTGGGAGGGTGGAGAAGACCTGAATGCTCCCAGGGGCTGCCCTGAGAGGCTGGTGGGAAGTGAAAGGCTTCTGTGGGCTGCCGTGCAAGGCTGATGGGAACCCAAAGGCTTCCAAGGGCTGCCCTGGGAGGCTCGAGGGGAGGTGGGTTTTTGTTTTTGTTTTTTGTTTTTCAAAGAACTTACCTCCTTTTGCAGGTTTTTTGTTTGTTCTGCAACACCTTCAAGCTGGATTTCTGCCCGAATCTTCTTAGCATTTTCTTTTAATAAATACCTCTAAGGGGGGAAAAAAAGAAGCAATATCACATTGTTTACCGTATCACATTAAAATATTCCATTCTTCAGAGAATTGTGGGCTAATTGCTTGTTGGTTTACGGAAAGACATTGTGATTGCTTTTAATAGTTACTTAAAAGGAAAAGGGCTCACTCATTCATCACCAGCTGTCAATTATAGCAATGTTATTCCTTGCTATCACTTTCTGGGTTGCTCTCAGACAGACATAAATTTAAACTCTGGTCTAGTAAGCAGACTCTGAACAGATGGCATCATAGACCAAATACTGCTTGGTTTCAGTGTCAACGTTATAAATATTAGCTATAATTGTCGATACATGAAAAAGTACTTCCTAAGAAAATTAAAATGTATTCAATAAGGAAAAGATTATTTGTAATTAAGTGCTTAATCCATCCCAACATCCTAACCTCTTGTTTAGCTATGCAAACCTTTCACAGCGCTATGAAATAGCTACATTACTATTTAGGAAGAGTGTATATACCTTGTCTAATTTCACTCTGTTGGTAAAAAATAGAAACAATTCAGTTCACATCCCTGCCCTCCGGAGAGTATTGGGTACGAACACAAAGCATTGCTAAGGGGATAGATGAATGGACTACATTAGAGTAAACCACTCAAGGTTAGTTCCAGTCTGAACGAACTATGCACTTCACCTGATAAATTCAAAGTACAGTACTATCCCTGGGACCTAACTGGCAGGGCACAGCATGTGTTGACTGTGTAGATGATGGCTGGAGCAGATATTAGAATATCTTTTTCTTTCCTTTCTTTTTGTAGAATTTTCTTAATAAATGCAGAATCACCCATCTTTTAAAAGCACATTTTGCTATTTGATAAAAAGTAATATAAAAATATTTCCTGGAGTCCATAAGCTCCTCTCAGCACCAGTGTGTGTGTGTGTGTGTGTGTGTGTGTGTGTGTGTACGTGTATTTGAATGTGTGTGTGAGAGAGAGTGTGGGTGGGTGTGATTATAAGTGTGTGTGAGTGTGAGTATGTCTGAATGTGAGTGTATGTGAGTGTGAGTGAGTGTGAGCGTGTAAGAATGGGAATGGGAATGTATGTGGGTGTGTGAGTATCAGTGTGTCTGAAAGTGAGTGTATGTGAGTGAGTGTGTGTGTATGAATGTGTGTGAATGTATGAGCGAGTGTAAGTGTGTTGGGGGGTGAGCATGCACAAGAAGAGCCTCTTTCTGTAAAATACTATTTAGTAATGACCATCCATTGTCCTACTGCATGTCATGGTGGATAGATTATTTTAAATTGTAATGTGAAGGTAAAAAGTATAATTTAGCAATATTTTCCAATTAAATTAACATTCCAGAGAAGGGTACTGTCTATGATTTGATTTCTTAACTTTACTCTCCTTTTGGTCAGATCTTTTGATAAAACACAAACAAAAGATTGACCCTTTGAGACTTAAACCATCTTCAGAGGAAGACTATTTTTATATCCTATATCCTTGAACTCCAGTTAAAATAGCAACACGTAACAGAAAATACTCATGTTTGGCATAAACCAGCACTAACAAGGGACAGATTTATTATTCCTAGTATTTGTATCTGAATAGCTTTTTCAAATACCCAAAGGTCTGTCGAAGAGAAGGAGGGCTGCTGCCGACTTCTAGAGAGTGGGACAAAATCCGTGGGCAGAAAGTCCAAGGAGGTGTCCATGAAGCAGCTCCATCAGAGCTCCCCAGAGACCCCAGTGAGGTCTGGGATGAAGACAC